GGAGATACCAAAATGCAGGGCAATTGGGGGGAAATGATATTGGTGAAGCTTCTAGAGAATACCAGTTTGCAGAAAGGGGTGAATTATTTTGAGCAAGAATCTTTTGATGTGGATGGACAGCGCAAACAATTGGATGTCCGCATTGCATTGCCCAATAATAAAAATATAATTATAGACAGTAAGGTGTCTATAGTAGCTTATCAGAGTTTCGTTAATGAATCGGAAGGCCCCACTAAAGATAAATTTCTCAAAGACCATTTAAATTCAATACGAGCCCATATCAAGAATCTATCGTCCAAAAATTATCCCGATATTCCTTTGGAAACATTGGATTTCACCATATTATTTATGCCTGTAGAAAGCGCTTACATATCGGCGGTTCAGGCCGATAGTCATTTGTTTAATGAGGCGTTTTCTCAACACATCGTTTTGGCATCACCATCGACATTATTGGCCATGCTAAAAACCATAGATCATGTTTGGCAACGTGAAAAGCAAAATCAAAATGTGCTTGAAATCGCTAAAAGGGCGGGCAATTTGCATGATAAATTCGCCGCTTTATTGGATGACTTTACCACCTTGGAACGCAACTTTTCAACCACTCAAAATACATTGGGTCATATTAAAACCAAACTCAAAGGACAAGGCAATCTGATCAATCAGGTTCAAACCATTCGTCAGTTGGGCGTTCAAACCAAAAAAATCATCGACCCCTTAATATGGCAATCTCAGGATGAAAACGACTAAACTGATATTGACGGCGTTTTGTATATTGGCTGTGTTGGTTGTTTCGGCGGATCAGTACATTGATCGATTTGATAAGTACACGTATAATTCTACCAAAGACATTCCTCATTATCCAGTGGGATTGGTATTGGGAACGACCCGTTATTTGGTCGATGGTGGAATCAATCCGTATTTTAAATACAGAATGCAAGCGGTGGCTCAACTGTTTAAAGCCAAAAAAATAGATTACATCATTGTAAGCGGAGACAATTCAACCCTTGAGTACAACGAACCCGTTCAAATGAAGTTGTATTTAATGAAATATCATCAAGTACCAGCCAATCGAATTATAAAAGACCACGCTGGGTTCAGTACGTTAGAATCCATTATCAGGGCCCATAAAGTATTTGGTCAGAATTCGTTTGTTATTGTTTCTCAAACATTTCAGAACGAAAGAGCACTTTTTATAGCCCGTTCCAAGGGAATTTCGGCCGTTGGTTACAATGCGGCATCGCCACCCACTCAATTTACCATAAAAACCCGTTTCCGAGAACTTTTTGCTCGGGTAAAGGCCATATTGGACGTATATGTATTAAATACCAAGGCCCGATTTGAAGGGCCACCAGAAGTCATTCCATATGAGTATAAAGTCGAAATACCACCGTTGAGATGATGTTTTTGGATTGGATAAAGCGTCCATGGATTCAAAATGCCATTAAAGTAATCATCACGGTGGTTGGATTGTATTGGGCGTTTGTTTCGGCCAAACTCGATTTGAGACAATTGTGGCAAAGCATTCAATCCATACCGTGGTATATGATAGGGCTATTGTTGGGCGTAGTTAATTTGGGGGTTCTAGTATCGGCCACTCGGTTGTATTATATACTCAATAAATACAAGATGCCTTGGTCTTGGTCTCAAAATCTTAGATGGTATTATTGGGGAATGTTTCTTAATTTTTTTACCCCCGCAGGCGTAGGAGGCGATGCCTAT